TTTATTTAACTGTATATTTGTTTATGTATTAATAGTTGTAGCACTTCAGCTGCCCGCTAACGACATGTTTTCTCACTGTATTGGGTTGACTGGAAGAGATCTCTGTCAGAAACAAGTTCAGCCTCGTTTACAACATTTATAAATGTTGTTTTATATGTAAGTTACAAGTGCAATGAAGTGTGTATATATATATATATATATATATATATATATATATATATAAATATATATTATAATTGTACACTTGATTTAACACTATCATCATTTAATATATTACGTTACTCAGAAAGATGCAGAAAACAGAAGGAAAGAGATAGCAATAAAATTAACAAATTATAATCATAATTATGTACACCCCATCGTTGGGCAAGTGTCTCAGATTAACAACAAACGATATTAAGAACATAAACCAAGTCCAGAACCCTCAGAGGTACTTATTGGTTAATTAAACGTACCTTAGCGAGTCCATGATTACGGTGTGTCCCACTTTCAACAATGGTTTTACTTAAGTTACAAAGATATTTAAATAATTTACAAATAAGTTTCTGGTTGGGCAGGTGTTCATATCAAAAGCCTATATTTATTTATTTACAAGATCACCAATTTATTATATATATACCACTTTTTAACATCGCACGGCTCGCCATCAACAGGGAGTTCACCCTCATACCCTACTGCCTAAATGTAACAGTTGTACATGCATGAAGGGAAAAAATTGTTACTAATTTTATGCATTTTGTTTTTATTTATTTTTTTAATTTTTTGTACATGTATCTTTTTTTTATCTTTTTTTCACTGTGCATTTATGTGTGCATTTATATATTGTTTGTGTGCTATAAGTAATGCAAATAAAATATTTATCTATCTACAACGCGCTTTCAGAGATGTTTTCTCCCACGAACACTCAGGTTATGGAATGAGCTCCCTACCTAGGTTCCCCGAGAGACTACAACATGGGGTTCTTCAAAAGGAGAGTAAAGAGGTTTCTTCAGGGTCAGCAACGCACGTGTAATACCCGTGGTATAGGGGAGAAAAGGGATTGTTAGTAATGGGGATTAGTATCCCCATTGCTAGCAATATACCCTGTCAGGTCGACCTCCTCGTGGTTCCCCCTGGAAACCATCGTGATTGATTTATTGTTAGATTCGTCACGGTGGGCTAACTGACTATCACCACTCACTGGTATCCCGTCAGCGTATACCGATAGCGCAGGCGGGGCTACCATTTACTACTTCATAGGATAGGGTAACTGCTTATCATCAAGTGAGCCGAATACTTGTTTGCCACCTCAGTGATATAAAAAAAAGAAACAAATAAGATACAGCGAAGAATTTTAAGTAAAATACTAGTGGTATTGCATTCGCCTGCGGCTTAGATAGCTCTTACATTTCGTCCCATTTTTCATCCCTTTTGGGATGAGTTCTTAAAAAGCCTATAAACATATTAATTTTTGTTTTAAACCAAGAGCCTAAATTCATATATCTAACTTTTATACTGATGAAATTCCATAGAAACTTTCAAAGGGCGTTTTAAAACTAATGAAACCGGTGTACCTCAAGGAAGTATACTGGGTCCGTTACTATTTCTTTTATACAAAAATGATCTTCCAGATATAGTTGATCAAAAATGTATTTTATTTGCAGATGTACATTACTATGCAAATATAAAGATTTAGACACTTTCGAAAATTGCATTAAGGATATATTAAATAAAGTAATATCATGGTTGACATGGGTGGGGGCCATTGCTAGTGATATACCCTATAAGGTAGAGCTCCACGTGGTCCCCCTTGGAAACCATCGTGCTGATTTCCAGGTGTATTCATCACGATGGGCTAACTGACCTGCCTTTTCATTCTCACCTATCATCCGTCACTGGTGCTCCACCAGCGTATACCATTAGCGCAGGCGGGGCTACCATTCCATTATCATCTATAAAAAAAATGTATTTGAGGTCATCACTCCATCTAGTGGAGGGGAGTCGTCCTACACTGCGTTTGCCCGTACGAGGTCGCCACTTAAGAACCTTTCTTCCGTACCTGGTATATGTTATACCAGGCGCAGGCAATGTTTCCATTTCATCATCACCCATTAAAAGAATGACCATAATCCTCAGGAATAGCAATGCATGATGGGTATCATGGGTACCACAGTATACTCTGTTACATCTACAGGCAACGGTTACTATTTTACATCAGGGCTGTCAGTTTATTTGCCATTCTAAGTAGCATAAAAAAATGTAGACAAAAATGTATGACGTAATTCAAACTTTAATTTCTAGTGTTCAGCATATAAAGTTCTCAGTACCGGCAGACTTTCTTAGAAATCTTTATTGATATGATTGTGTTATCAATGTTAGTGTTTGTTATTCAACTGAGGTCGCGTGTTTGCGCGCGGTCACAGGGGGCCGTTTAATGTGACCGCGGACAGCTGACCTCACTTCCGGCCATGCTGCGCAGGCGCCAAGAGATTAACGGCTTGTTAGTTTGTCTGTCAAATTTTATAGCAGAACACTAAGAGGACGTCTAATCGTCTATTAATTATGTAAGAGGAATAGGGATTTTATTTTGTAACAATCCTGATTCCTTCCTTGGTGAGATCTAATGAGTCTCCTTACCCCCTTATGTGAGATTAATCGTAAGACTTTAATTGCCTAATTAATTATTTTTTTAATTCCTTGATGTATTTTATTTTATTTGCTTGCTAGCTTTTACCCGCGATTTCGTCCGCGTGTAAAAATTGCCTTTTTTTCATTATTTTAAGTCTCTTTTACTTTTTGCTTTACTTTTTCGGAATATATCAGAATTTTATTTCACAAATGTTACTAACTAACTGTCGCCCGCGATTTCGTCCGCGTTTCCGTTGTTTTTCGTAAAATAAGTAGCCTATGTCCTTCCTCACGGTTCAGTGGTTTTGATGTAACAGATACATTTCCCTTCACTGCACTGCTCCTATTGATCGTAGCGTGATGAAAAGTATACTATAACCTGCCCAGAAGTATGAAGAATAATTGTACCAAGTTTCGTTAAAATTCGTCGAGTAGTTTTTGTCTCTATAACGAACATACAGACAGACAGACAAAAATTTTACTGATTGCATTTTTACATCAGTATCGATCACTAATCACCGCCTGATAGTTATTTTGGAAATATATTTCATGTACAGAATTGACCTCTCTACAGATTTATTATAAGTATAGATAGAAGATTACTTGATGTACATATATTTAATTATAACCTTATCTGTGTTGATTGTCTAAATTTTACTAATTACTAGTTAATAATTTACTAAATACTAATTACTAGTTACTAATTACTAATTACATACATTCAATTATAACCTTATCTTGTACTGTGCTGATTGTCTTAGACTGTAAACTATTGGTTTGCCTCAATAAATAAATAATACTACAATTAAATTTCAATTGGGGTGTTATTAATAAAATAATTATTTTATTATAAATAAATAGTAATTAAATAATGAAATAGAAAAATTAAGGCTGACTAAACATTGGTTTTAATATGTTGCATGTAATAAGCTCGCGAATATATGAGTATATGGGTCACATTTTATACCACTGTGGTGGCAAACAAGCATACGGCCCACCTGATGGTAAGCAGTCACTGTAGCCTATGAACGCCTGCAATACCAGAGGTATTACGCGCGCGTTGCCGACCCATTCATCATAATGGTGTCTAATGAAATTAAAATAAATGTAACGAAATGAAACTAAAAGAAACGAGATGAAACAAAATGAAACTAAATTAAATTAAATGAAATTAAACAAATTGAATATTTATTTGCCGAAACAATATTAAATCGATTATTAATTCTACGAATACGTACACTAGGCATGCAAGCCTGTGTGGTGTAATTCAGAAATGTTGTACAGCCATAGTGCTAAGTACATTATTTAACAACATACCTCTGACTACACTCTATCAAAGATTATAGGCGTGAGGATTTTTACTTAAACTGGATTAGTAAGATATTTAGTTGAAGAGATCGCTTTTAGCGATAAGGCCGCCCATTGTTTTCTTACTGTAATCATTTCTTGTAATTGTTTGTACTCGCATTTATAATAATTTTACTAATGCAATCTTATGGAGGAAACAATACAGAGTATCTATTTATCAATCTATTTAATATAATAAAACTATAACTAGATAATATGTATTTTTACATGATTATTGAAAAAAAAATGAACAGTCTTCATAATTTATAAAACAATAATTGTTGGAAAGTCTATATGCCTGAAAGGTTTGTTCTGAAATAACGCAAAAATTACTGCACCAAATTGAATGCAATTCTCACGTTTGCATTATCGAAGGTCGAACTTAAAATCTATTGTATATTTTATTTATTTATTATAATTATCAACTAAGGGAGCTTGACAATTTCCCTTGCTTACGAATCGCCATAAACAAAACAATAAAGTTTAATTATTGGATTATATTTCTAAATAACTTATTGTCCTTCTGCGAAATTCGACAAGTTTAGAAATTAATATATCGAAGTCCAGACACTGGTTCATCTTAATATGCCATGAAGATGTAGTCTATTTCATTTATTTCCTAATTTTGAAATCCATGCGAAGTAGCGGCAAAAAGCTAGTTAAATAATTCATTTCTGTGTACTAGAGTCTTTCAAAGAAATTGAATCTATGTAAGTTTCATTCCAATTGATGTAATGCGTGTTAAATGCACATTTTGCGATAACGTCTCGTCACCGTCACCACACAGCATCCAGTGAGCGCGTGTTCGAAGTAATTACCTGCGGTAGGTGTTAAGCACGGTACGTGGTGGCGGCGGCACCGTATACCGTACGCTATACAGGGCGGGCGGAAGCTGCGGCGCATCCCGCCCTCGATGCAGTCACCCCGGCGTGGCCCGGTCCCCGGCCGCCGCCGGTGGAGCGCCGGCCCGCGCCCGCACCCCGCCGCGCCCCGCCGGGCCCCGCGCCCCGGCCCCCGCCAACAACCCGGCACAGAGCGCGTGCGCCCGCCGGCCGGCACTCAGTTCACCGCCGCGTCGCGCGATCACCACACGTGTGAGACACATGACAATTCGCGGCGCCTAAAACGATCGAACGCTTAATTTTTACCAGTGACCGAGAGGGCGACCTCTCGTAGACGACAAAATAGCTTCACAAGTGGAAATGCCCTCAAGCCTGTTCGGAGACCTGGGCGGTGGCGGCGGCCTCATGGAGGACCAGCGGGCGTTCCAGCTAGCGCTGGAACTGAGCATGCTGAGCCTCGGCGAGAGCCTGCCGACCGCAAACCCGCTGTCGAGCCCGCTCGGGTTCGCGCCGCCACCCGATGACCGCGCGAAGAAATCGCAGAACATGACCGAGTGCGTGCCGGTGCCGTCTTCGGAGCACGTCGCGGAGATAGTTGGACGACAAGGTAGGTGGCGAGTGGTGTGGTAGCCCGGTGGCCGGTTGTGAGACGGACGGGGCCGCGACGCGAGCCCGGCGCCGCGAGCGCCACCCTTATGTAAGGGCACGTGACGCGCCGGCTCGCTAGGTTATGTTCGATCACAACCAACACCCTTAGCGACCGGCATTTGCACGAAATCCGCATGAGAAACGTCAAAAAGCATGCGTTCTTTTTATTTGTTTACCCCCCATGTGAAATGTGCGGTGTAACCGTTTCGTGTTTTGCACGAACTTGTAACGGCCCTGCGCTACGTAGATAACAACGTATTATATATACATTTTAAAATATCGTTGTAGATAGTGCAACGTCGGAAAGCTCGTGTTTACTTATATACCTTGTAGATAACTCGCTTTTTCATATAATATTATCCATGTTAATATAGATGGAGCAATATCTAGCTAGTAGACGTCTGTCTGACTTTGATCTTTGCGAGGTAATACCTAAGAAATGAAGGCCAAGGACATAATTTTTCAGCCACGAGTAACGAACAATTATTTAGATATATATATATTTTAAATATCTGCCGTTTACATTACATTTTGAAGGTATTAATAAATTATATTTATAATTATAAATAACTTTAAAGTCGACTCTAGTCCTAGCGTTAAGACGGCTTTTTCAACTTTTTTTTTTGTGTTTCTAATTTAATCTGTATTTTATCCTACTGTATTTTATTTAAAATCTATAATTGTCATTGTGTATTTTTATGTATTAGATGCAGTAAATAGTTAAATAAACAACTAATAATGCCCGCGTCTTTGTATGATTTTTGACTTTAACGTGTTTTACTCTATAAATAACACTTACTAGGTATTCATTATGCCAAATTTTATATAGCAATTGTTTAAGTTATTAAGATGCCAATGGGCAATAAATAAACAAACCCATTATCACGTTTATATCTACTTAATAGGTATTAATTTTGCCCCGACTTTGCCTGCGTAATCATTAGAAATAATGTGCCTGGGATAAAAACCCTTGTTACTTTTCCATCCCGATTACTATATGTATGGTAAATTTCGTTATTTTCATTTAAAAGCTAACAAACTCACTTTCACATTCATAATATTAGTAAGTAAATATTAGTGCGGTACCTAATTGCCCCATTGTTAGTAATATACCCTATCAGGTCGACCTCCACACGGTTCCCCCTGGAAACCATCACGGTGACTTGTAGTTAAATTCGGGGCCTAATCGCCCCGTTGCTAGTAATATACCCTATCAGGTCGACCTCCACACGGTTCCTCTTGGAAACCATCATGGTTACTTCTAGTTGAATTATAGTGTAGGAGAGTTCAATATTTCCTTTCAGTCATTAAAAAAAAAAGTAAGAATTAATAATGCTAGGGATATTAGCAAACTAAATATCTAGTATAACACAAAGTCTGTTTGTCCGCGTCTGTTTGTTTATCCGCTTATTTTTTAAGATTTCACAATCACTTAAAATTTTTTTAATAATTATTTTGTGTATAGACAAAATATAATATCTATGTATCTTTTAAATCATTCCCTAATGTATTTAACCATTTATTACATACATAATTAGTGTTTTACATATTTACTTTATAAACTTTACTATACTTAGTGTAAGTGGCGGACTTAACACCGTATAGCTTAAAGTCCGCCATTTACAACGTGATAAGCGAATAGAAAAACAAAAACAATATTAAATTAAAACAGTGATTTAAAAATAACATACATATTACCTGTATATTTTTGTACAAAAGTAGATTGCTTGGGTACCTCTGTCCCATTCGTGTTTCAACCGTGAAGCAGTTGTGTTTGCATGGCTGTGTTTCGGTTTGAAGGGTGGGATATGGCGTGAATTTACTGGGTACAGAGGAATAACACTTGAGTCCTCAGGAATGGCAACACATGGGGGGTATCATGGGCGAAATAGTATACTCTGTTATTTCCATGGTACTACTCATGTTTATAGGCGACGGTTATCACTTTCCATCAGGTGGGCCGTCAGCTTGTTTGCCATTTTAAGATGTATAAAAAAAAAAGATGAAAACAGTAAAAAAATCTCAAGGGATATAAGTATTTACAAATTGGTCCCATGCATATTTCATTCAAATCGGTTCAACAGTTTAGTTTTGAATTCAAAATAACTGATATTTGCTATAAATGTTTGTGGAATGAAATACCTACTTTTTGAAGTTAAAAAGAGTTTATCTTTGCCTGTTGTCTCTTGACGCCTTAACGGCTCAACCAATTTTCATGAAATTTAGTATATACATGTATAGTTCTAAAAAGCTGGTATTAAATAAATTCTTACAATTAGATCAACTGTTAATTGTCCAAGACTGAACATAGGTATCCCCATACCAGAAGTTGCCATTTTCGGCAAGGGGTTGGTTACCGCAGTTAGGCTTTGGTAATGTTTTAAGAGGGTCGCTGCTGCCCATCCCTTAATCATTAAGTTCCCTTAGTTTCCTACAACATCCACGAACAAGAAAGAGATGGCCCATTCTATGCCTGGACCATAAGGCTTATTAAAACTATGTACAAATTTAATATTGTTGATGAGAGATGATGAGAGAAAATTGAAGAACACGTCAAATTAATAAAACCCCCGGGGTATTGAGGGATTTTAAATCACTATGATTTGCAATTTAAAAGTATTAAATAAATTTTTCGCGCCGCTGGGTAGGTACTGCGAACATTTGGGAAAAAAAAAGGGAGTCTCAGATAAGTCCTACCAAGAATCACTTTGTCGGTGTTTTTTGTTCAGCCCTTAAGGGAAAAAATTGTTACATCCCTTACCGGTGGGGCAACCTTTTTGCTCGAATGGTACCATTTAATTAAGGATGAAGATATTTTTTTTTATTCACATAGTTATTCGAATTTTGAGAAATGTGTTGGTCTTCAGTTTTTTTTTTTATGGTTTGAAATCGGAATGGTATACCTGCCTGCGGTATTGGAAAACGCTGGCCGGGTTCCAGTGAATGATGATGAAGATAGCCGGTAATTAAATTAACCATGATGGTTGGGTGGGGCCGATGGGGGGGGTCGGACTAACTTTAACATTAATTCTAGCATTATTTATTTATTTTTAATTTATTTATTCACAGGAAAACTAGAACTACACTAGAGCAAATAGATACAGCTTAGGATCACAAAATAAGCCACTAATAGGTTTTCACAAGTAGCAACAGTATGGATAAAAAGCGCTGTACACAAAGCAACCAAATTGGAGTTAACAAAAAAAAAAGATATGTATATAAACAAACAAGACGAATAAAAATAAAAATAACTAATGATGAATAAAATACAAAGTAAAAATATTTTATTAAAATATGGCCTTTTTATCCATACAATAGGTATTCAAATTATGAATCAAAAATAGGTTAGGTTTATTGCTAGCGAAATTTACAATATTCAATTTTTTATAGTATAAATGTTTCTATTCTATTCTATTCTATAATAACATTTCTGTTTCGACTGGGAAAGAATGCTATCTAGCATTAAATCCGCCTTTTGTAGCAGACATTTGTTTTTAATTTGGCCAATAAAAAATAAATAAATACACCCAATATTGCTAGCAATGTAGCCGCTAACGTCAGTAACTAATAAACTCTCTCTGTCTCTCTCTCTCTCTACTCCCTCCAGTCTCCAATCAGATTTCAATATTGTATCAAAGGCTTGATTATACAGGATGTAAGCTCGAACTCGAGCATCCATTTAAGAAATTTTCTTCAAAAGAAACTGCTGTACATTCTACCCACAAATAGGTGTAATATTTGAAAAATGTCAAATTTAGTATTTCGTCAAATTTTTAACCGACTTCAAAACGAATTACTCAATTCAGTAATGTTTTTTTTTTATACAGCTTTGAATGGCAAACAAGCTGACGGCCCACCTGATGGAAAGTGGTAACCGTCGCCTATAGACATGAGCAGTACCATAGACATAACAGAGTATATTGTTTCGCCCATGATACCCCCCATGCGTTGCCATTCCTGAGGACTCAGGTGTTATTCCTCTGTACCCTGTAAATTCACGTCATTTCTCTTTTATATGTAACCTATTAACTTAGTAATAAAACTATTTGGATTTTTTTTTATCTAAAATGATTTTACAGTTTGGTTCCATAGACATTTTATCAAAATCGGTTCAGTTATTTAATTTTGAAATTTGAAATATAAATAACTGGTTTTTAACTGACACAACCGTTTCCGTTTTTTGTGGAACATATTTTTTTTTTTTGACCAGTATTCCCTTGGAAACAATGGTACACTGGTATAATAAAATTATTCCTTAAAATAATGCTATCCGATTTTATCCTGTTATATATACTCAACATATCGACCTCTATTTTGGGGGTTTTGCCAGTAGTTGCCACGTTTGGCAGGCGGATTGGCAACCGCGAGGATAGGCAGCAGCGTCCCTTTTAAAACATCTCTAAAGCCTAACTGTTATAACTTAATTGCTAACAATTCTTTGCGCACTTCAATCTCATCGGTGATACTGAAATCACTGCGTGATCACTTAAACGACAAGTCGTTTTTAAGTAATTATTTAAAAACGAGCTCGTAAATTGCTCTAAAATTCCACCCTTTATTCCCTGGGGAAAGTATCTAGTTTAATATCATTCAATTTCGGTTCGGTATGACCCTTTAATGATGATTGATTATTAGAGTGAAAGAGATGGACTGTGGCGTAAACATGGACTGGATGCGTGAGTGTGGCGTCATCAAAAACTGCGAAACAATGACGCGTATCGTATATGACTTATACGTAGCTTATGTTTTTTATACAACTTGGAATGACAAACAAGCTGACGGCCCGCCTGATGGAAAGCTGTAACTGTCGCTTATAGATATGAACAGCACCATGGACATAACAGAATATATTTCGCCCATGATACCCCCGATGTATTGCCATTCCTGAGGACTCGGATGTTATTCCTCTGTACCCTGTGAATTCACTGCCATATCCCATCCTTTAAAACAAAACAACCT